CTTTCCCGGACCAAAAAAAAAACCAAAAAAAAAAAAAAATCCAATTTGTAACAGCAGCATCCTATCAAGGTGTCCCTTCTTCTCAAAGGGAATAAAAAATCCTTGAGCAAAACTCATACAAGAACATTAAAATATTAACTGAATTTCAAAAATATTTTCAAAATAAGGGATACAAATAAGAAAAGAACTTGAGCCCTGTCCACTAACTATATAGAGTGGGAGCTTACGTTTAATCTGTCAAAAGACGCTGGAGCCCCAACTCTGATTTCATGGTAATATACACATTCCAGTACACATTACATGATATGTTCAGCTCAGTATGAATAATGTGTGGCAATAATATCAATTTAACATAATAAAAATTCCAAAAACTGGACATGTATTCTGAAAACAGGGTTTAAAGGCAATTTAATTACTAAGTTTATAACAAAATTATAAATGAAAAATAAATGAAAATTAGAATTTGAGTTGAAATTCATCAATTGCTTCCTTCTAGCAGTGCTCATAGTCTGTATCTCCCTTCTCAAATACCTTCAGATACCACTGCCTCTTCTTTTAAATCAGCATAGTATGTACCAAAAAGTTTGTGGAATGTTCAAAGAATAGAGGCCATGAAGGAAAACAGCTGGAATGATGCTGGAAAAGAGAAACAGTACACTGGATCGTATTTTATGTCATACTAACCAACCTGGACTACTTTAAAGACAACTGCCATGATCTTCCTTCCCTCTCACCCCAATTTCTCTTGATACAGCATAGTTTTCAGTTCCTTCACCATCCTTACTGCTCCTTCCTAGAGTCAGTCCAATTTGTCTATATTTCTTTCAGTGTGGCACTCCACACTGCAAATGAGATCAACCAGAACAAACTAGGTAAGACCTTGTTCCAGATGAGGTGCTTCCACTGATGGAACTAGTCCTTGATAAAAACCATACACCTTTTCCAAATGTACCACTGACTAAATCAAACCATACCTAAGCAATTGTTGTCGTTTTGTTTTGTTTTTTTAAATGAAGGGCAACACTCTTTCATTTATCTATAGAAGTTTTCAACAACTTAAATTCAACCCATCTTAGCTAGCACCCTGTTAATTTTAGACCTTTATTTTATAATCCAACCTATTTTGCCATTCTTTTACTTATGCTTTTCATAAGCACAAGTGAAAACTTAATGAGCATACTTTCTACATGTTTATCATTATTAATAAAAATGCTAAACTCAGCCATTTTAAGTTTATATTAATCCATCCATCTATACTATATGGACAGGGTTATAGGTGAAAATAACAAAAAACTTATTTCCAGTTACTCTTCAGTGTTGAATGGCTCCACATAAATCTTAAAATCTAAAGACCTTAACCCAGTACTCAATACAGTTTTTTTTTTTCAACATTTATTTGTACGTATTTGTGTGGTACAGTGTATTGTTTCAATACATGCATATACTACACAATGATTCACTTAGGGTAGATAGCATAATTTTGCTCCCATTAGTCAATACAGTTTATATTCTGCCCCACACTTCCTTTCTAGTCAGACAGAAACAGTCCCCAAATATAACTTGCACTTTTTGTCTCAATCTGCATTGAGGTCAATCTCTTTTCCCCTAAGTTCCACTTATTAAAATCTTCCACAAAAGCAAAAACTAAGCAATAAAATGCCCATTAGTAGATGAACAGTAAAATAAATTATAACACTATACTAATGCAACCACTATACAGAATTAAGTAAATGTATATTTGACATTGAAAATATGTCCTTATAAAATTTTTAAATGTATAAAACAGTATGCATTGTAAGCTCTCTTCTATATTAAAAAAATAGATGCATACATACTAAACTTTATCCAATCTAAGATACACCATAAACTGTAAAATGTACCATTATTTTACAGACCACAGAGGAAGGAACAACAACAAAAACCTGCCCATCATAAGTTACCAGTTAAGATAAACCCCAATTGTTCCAACGTTAAAATAGCAAACAAATGTCTTAGAAAGAGTATAAATGGTAATATTAGCAAATACGTATTATATAGTGCTAACTATGATCTTCACAACTCAATAAACAAGTATTATTATTCCTATTTTACAGATGAGGAGACCATAGCAGAAAAAGTTTAAGTAACTTGACCAAGATTTCACATCTACTAAACTGAAGAATCAGGATACAAACTAAGCAAGCATGAAAGTCAAGAATCGATATAATAAAATATTAACAGTGACTGTCTCTGGGTAATGGTATTAACCAGTGACTTTCACTCTTCATATCTTTCTACTTATTTTTTTTTACAAGGAATATTAATTAGTTTTGTGTTCACATAAAACAATTAAAATATTTTCACTTTAGGGGTTAATCTCATCTTTCCAGATGTCCTCCAACACAAAATAATAGCACTTCCTCTGATTTTAACAATACTTTAAAGTTTTTCACTATAAAAAAATTTTGAACTGGTACTATTTTTAAGGTCCCACATTCCTAGGAAAAGACAACTTTTTCTGTAGCCTTGTCAATATGTAACCACCAGAATTATTTTAAACCTGTTTAACAGATCAACAAAAACTCACCTGAATAAAAGAGCTTTTCAAGTCCACCAATTTGTGACAGCCCCAGGCTTGTGAAAGTTAGCCAGTCAGGAACAAACTCACTCCAATATACACACCTCTGAGTGCCAATCAATTAACATGGGTTTCACCCAAGTGACCACACACATACACATGACATCAACCCACTTTGGATCCTGAAAGTTCATGAATCCCTGAAGTCCACCCTTCCCAAAAACTATAAGATCAACAATCTCTGTGCCCAGAGAAACTGTGCCTAAAAAACATAGTTGTCCCTTGCTATTGTAAGCAATAAATTCATTGTCTTGTTATTTCAGATATCAAATGTGGGTTTCATCATCCTTCAACACAATCAACTGAAAAGTTCCAAGAGTAGTTCACTGAAGGCCCATATAGTCGTCATTCACATTTTTTAATTGCTAACGATTATTAAATTCAGGAAACTTAACATCGATACATTCCTATTATCTAATAAATAATCCATATTTAAAATCTCCTAATAATATCCTATATTTATAGTATTTTTTTCCTGATCCAGGATCATGCACAATATTTCAGTTTTCATATCTCACTGGTCTTCCTTCATCTGGAGAAGTTCCTCAGCCTTTTTTTTCTAAAAGTACTTTTGTCATTCTGGCCAGTATTAAATTTTATTAGAAAATACAAAATATGAAAGAAAACTCTGCCTGGGAAAGCTTTTGTTCTTCACCTCAATCTGCTATAACTTCCTGGCTAGAATTTACTGAGCACACAATCACCAGCTGAATCACACCCCAGCACAATGGTAGACTGGAAAAAATTGAGACGTTTCCCATCAGATGGCTACGTCTAAGATCTAACTTCCCACAGATGGCTATAATTCACTGAATGGAAATGCCTAGAAGGACACCAACATACTATGAAGAAATTATAAGCATTGGGAAGATTGCCCTCAAAGTCTTTAACATGTTCATTTGGGGTTTTTTTTAAGTAATCATTTAAAATATTCTTTCTCCTTACTGATTTTATTTATTTATTTATTTATTTATTTTTCCTTTTTGTCTTTTTTACTG